ACTCAAACAATAAAGCTTTTAGGAGGCTGAACTCAATCCTATCTTATCAGGTCTAGAAAAAGCTTCAGATGCCTTAGGATGTGGGCACAGAGGCCCTTCTGTTCCAATGACCAACCAGGAATATATAAATAGTATATCCTTATATATAACACAATAATATGTAATAATTCTATAATCACATTCTATAGTTACATTATAAACGCGGGGGCTAGGGCCTTAGGCATTCTTCAATTTCATTCACGTATAAACGTGAGGCCCAGATACCAGACGTCCTCAGCAGGTAGCAGAGACTAGGCCCCTCTACAACGGATTTCTCTACTTCCTCCTGCTACAGTTTGTCCTTCCTTCCGGAAGAGGACCAAGGGTACCACAAAGGTGATGTCTTGACTTGTGCATGAATTGGATTTAAGTAGGGCAAAACTGAACAAAGCTGTCAACCTTAAGTCTCTCCTCCACAGTCACCAAAGTCCACACAAAAGTCAAGATGACAGGTGACGGCCTGGGAAGCAGTGGGTAACCTTGGCCTTTCTAAATTAAGGTCTTTCCCCAGCCTCAGTTTGTCAAATGTAGCCCTGGAAAAAAAGGCTTTAAAAAAAAAAGGGGTTTTTAAAGGAGTCCAACGGGGCAAGTCCATTGTTTCAAATGGAGCTAGGCTGGTGAATGCCAAAGACCGACAGTTTTACCACTGGAGAGCCCAGGCGCCCCAGAGCTTTCTCAGTCAGTCAGAAAGTATTTATTTAGTGCCAGTACTTTGTCAGGTCCAAGGAACACGAAGCCTGAGGTGACACACCTAGTACTTGCCCTCAGGGAGCCCACCTTCTACTGGAGGAAGCAACATGTACATAGAGAGGTCTATAGGAAAGAAAGGATGTGGGTGGGAGGACAAAGCTAGCAGCTCCAGGCTCAGGAAGGCCTCATGGAGAAGGTGGACCTTGAGCTGAGGATTCAGGAAAAGGAAGGATTTTAAGAGACACAGAGAAGGAGAGAGTGAGGAAGAACCAGTCCACAAGAAAGGGCTGTCCCTGGCACCACATTTACAAGTTGAGGCAGCTAGGTGGCTCATTAAATAGAGCACTGGACCTGGAGGCGGGAAGACCTGAGTTCAAATCCAGGCTCAGACATTGAATGGCTGTGTGACCCTGGCCTTAATCTACTGGAGAAGGAAATGGTACCATTCCAGTATCTTTGCCAAGAAAGCTCCATGGACAGTACTAGTGTGCTATCGTCCGTGGGGTCACCAAGAGTCAGACGCAACGGACCAACCACCCCCACAAGTTAGCCATGTTCTCAGATAGCACCATGGGAGTCGAATGGGCAATGCTGGAGACAAGCCAAAATGGCGGAGCCTGAGCGATTTCCAGTACATGACCCCCTGCCAATGCCAGGCTGTCCCCTGAAAATAGGGAGGGGAGGCAATGCCTCATTCCCCTGTGCCTTGAGAGCTTTGTGGTCTGTGTCAGAGTTTCAGCGAAGCATGGAATTAAACTTTGTGGGAAATGCTTTAATAATAAACACGAAATGGGTTAATTCCTGCTTCCCTTTTATTTACTGCTGACCCTGAGAACACATGCATGACCCTGAGAAATCTGGGAAAGGGAGCACCACAGGAAGCATCTTTGCTCTGTGACTGCACTTAGGGAACTCGGCTGTGTCTCCACTTAGGGAAGACGAGTATTTCTAAATAACAGTCCTATAAATCACATTTCTGCCTAACAAACCCTCCCACCCTCACCACGACTCTCTCTTATTATAAAATTGGAGGCATGCTGGCCCACTTGAAGCAATTACGGAGCCAAACCAGAAGAAAAAATGTCACCTTATGGCAGATCAAACTAATTATGATTCAAAAGTTATGAAACACCTATATGTGTGAGGCCCTGAGAAGGATTCAAAGAATGGCCAGCCCTGCTTTCAGAAAACTGACAGTCTGGGTGGCCTGGGAGTCTGTGACAAACACACAGGCAAACAGTACCAGAGAGGGCATGATGGGGCCAATGAAGGATCCCAAGGGCTCTGGGAAAATTAGAGATCAGGCCTGGGAACATGATTCCTTAAGAAACTATCAGCTAATAGTCAAAGTACAAACGCAAACCCACTAGGGATGTTTTTGGTCCTTAGCACAATACTGGAAAGCTCTAAGTGGTGATGACCATTTCAAAGGGCACAACATGGTGGTCTCTTGAACAATCCCAAAGTTTTCTCTACAAGCTCCTCTATGGGATCTGACAAAAACGATGAGATCTCTTCAGGGACAGAACACCCAGGTCTTAGAACAAGAAGTAAGTACCAGGGATCCTCTTGAGTGGACAGAGAGCTGAACCTGGAGTCAGGAAGGACGCAGGTTTGAATCCTGTCCACCGCCAGACAGGTTATGACCTAAGCCTCAGTTTCCTCATCTGTAAAATATGGAGAATAATCCCTGATGGGAAAATGAAACATCACCTCTGCCATTTTATAGAAGTGATCTTGGAGTCCAGAGAGTTTGGGTGACCTGTCCAATGCCACCCAGACCAAGAATGCCACTGGCTTCCTACCTCTTAGTCCAGTGAACATACATGATTCCACTTGGTCAAAGGCTGGTGAAGCAGATCAAGGATAGGAGCTAAAAATCAAAGAGAAAAGGATGATAGGGAGAAGTCAAGGAAGGAAGACAAGGGAGCAGGGTTAGGAGTTATAACACGGTCACAGAATTATACTTTAGAGTTCAGTGGCCACCCAGGGAAGGGAGGGCACAGGGGGACACTAAATGAGCCAGTGCTGTGAGGGCAACTGAAGAAAAGGCATTGGGGGGGACAGTGGGGAGGAGACAGACCCCACCGGCCCAGGGAGACAGCCGTGTTTGACAGAAGGGATTTCAATCAGGCAAGAAGAAGCTTGAGTTCTCATTCTAGCGCCAAAAATGGGGAACCTGCAGCCTCAAGGCCACATGTGGCACTCAAATTCGGCCCTCTGAATCCAAACTTCACAGAACAAATCCCCTTAATAAAAGGATTTGTTCTGTCAGTCCAAAGGCTGCACTCGAGGACCTGGAGGGCCACATGCGGCCTCTGACCATAGGTTCTCCACCTCTCTTCTAGCCCAAGAGAAGACTCAGGAGGGACATGAGAGCCGTCTCTAAGTAATGGCAATCATTTCAGATCAATTGAGCCCCAGGAAGGGCCAAAAACCTGAATTAATCTTTTCTCTCTGAGTGAACCCAGAATGCCCCTTCCTGTGTCAGCAATCACAAGACCAAATGAAGCTGCCCAGCATTCTCCTGTCCGTGATCACTAAGGACAGGATGCCTGGGACCAGACACTGTCTTGAACAGTGGGACTTTTTCTTTTCTCACCATCCTATGGACATATGTCATGTAGGGAAAACACAGATATCCTGGGATTACAATTTCAATTGACACTTTGTTACTTCTCTTGTCTTACTGTATTTACAACCTATTCAACTAAGAAACTTCCTTTCTCATGCTATATGTTAAAAACATATGGAGGCTATATATGTGCGTGTATGTGTGTGTGTGTGTGTGTATGTGTATATTTTTTTTTTCAGTAACACAGACATCCTGAGTCACGGTTCAAACGTCCTCCTAAAATTGCTTGAGTCAGTCAGAGTTAAAGCTCTGGCTCCATGTGCGTGTCACTAACAAGGGAATAAACAATATGAATTTACTTATCACCTAGCTTGTTGTCTCTTTAACCGACTTTCAGGTCAACAGTAGCCAGGGTGGGCTGGTGCAAGAAGCCGGACTGGCCCCCAAGGCAGAACAGGAACAATGAGAAGAAGCCACAGAGGCAAAATCAGGCTTAGAATCAGAAAAATCAGCAAAATCAGAGCCCCCAAAGACGCGAACCTCGTCCTCCTCCTGCAGATGCGCTCTTCCCTTGCAGGTGGTGACGGCCGCTGTCCTCTCCTGGTCTTCCTCCAAGGAAGGGAGCAATCTGGACTTTCCCTCTCCGTCTCCTGGACTCTTCTCCTCGCTCCCTCTCAGGGTTCATCCAAAACCATCTCCTGTCTCCATGCTCTGAAGCTTCATCACCACCTCCGGTGCCCTGCATCCAGCCCCCCAGCTCCTGCCTCCTGGCCGTCTCCCCCTGGACATCCAGGAGGACTGGCCGCAGCCTTCCTTCCAGCGCTGCCCCTCTTCTGGGCCTCACCACCTTTGGCATTTAACTTCATACATTCGGTGCCCCTGCCTACTGCCCTTTATCCCAAGTGTATCTTGTTGGCATCAGCTGTCTGCACGTTGTCTCCCCCATTAGACTGTGAGCTACTTGAGAGCAGGGACTGTTCGGTTTTTTCTTTTCTTTACATCCCCAGAGCATAGGCGCTTAATAATTGCTTATGGATCAGAACACAGTTCCTGGCACACAGCAGGTGCTTAATAAATGTTTGTTGCAAGAATGAGTACATGAATGGATTTTTTGGGGGGGGATGTCTTTTCTTTGAACCTAGCTCGGTGCCTGGCATGCAGGAGGCGCTTAATAAGTGCATGTTGAATGAATGAATGAATGAATGAATGGGGGTGAGTGAAAGAGGGCGGGGATTCCTGCCTAGTCCCCGCCTCCGCAGGGGCCTCGCAAGCAGGGCGTGGCCAGGACCGCCGAGAGATGCGGAAAGGCTCGAAAGGCCGCGCAAGCGCTGGAGACTTCCAGAAGGAGGCGGGGCCGAGCGAGTAGAGGAAGGGCTGGGGGCGCAGCGTCAGGAGGAAGCGGCGGAGGTGGGGGGACGTCAGGAGGAAGCGCCTGGGAGGAGGGGGGCGGAGGGGGCGGGGCGTCGGG